ACTATCAAGAGAGTGAAAAGACACCCCACAGAGTGGGAGAACATATTGGGAATCATACATGCGATAAGGTTTTATTATCCAGAACACATTAAACAGCCTTGCATATCAATAATAAAAATGCAAACAACCCAGTTAAAAAATGGGAAAGAAGTTGAATAGACTTTTGTCCAAGAGTGATAAACAAATGGCCAATAAACAGATGAAAATTTTCTCCACATCGCTAATCATCAGGAAAATGCATGTCAAAACCACATGAGATAACCACTTTGCACCTACTAGGATGGCTAGAATCATGGCCAGAAGTGTTGTCGAGGAGAAAAGCAGCGGCGGCGGCTCTAGCGGCAGTAGCAGTAGCGCCGGGTCCAGAGAGTGGAGGTGCTCCTAGAGCAGCGGCAGTTCTGACTACAGCGCGGGGACGAGTCCGGTTCGTGTTCGTCCGCGGAGATCTCTCTCATCTCGCTCGGCTGCGGGAAATCGGGCTGAAGCGACGGAGTCTGCGATGGAGAGAGAAAAGGAACAAATCCGTAAACTCTTTATTGGTGGCCTGAGCTTTGAAACTACAGAAGAAAGTTTGAAGAACTACTGCGAACAATGGGGGAAAACTTACAGATTGCGTGGTAATGAGGGATCCTGCAAGCAAAAGATCATGAGGATTTGATTTTGTAACTTTTTCATCCATGGCTGAGATCGATGCTGCCATGGCTGCCAGACCTCGTTCAACTGATGGGAGAGCGATTGAGCCAAAACATGCTGTTTGCAAAAGAGGAATCTGGAAAGCCAGGGGTTCATGTCACTCTGAAGAAGCTGTTTGTAGGTGGAATTAAAGAAGATGCTGAGGAACATTATCTTAGAGATTACTTTGAGGCATCCGGACAAATTGATACCATTGAGATAATTACCGGTAGGCAGTCTGGAAAGAAAAGAGGCTTTGGGTTTGTTACTTTTGATGAGCATGATCCTGTGGATAAGACTGTGTTGCAGAAATACCATACCATCAATGGTCATAATGCAGAAGTAAGAAAGGCTTTGTCTAGACAAGAAATGCAGGAAGTCCAAAGTTCTAGAAGTGGAAGAGGAGGCCACTTTGGTTTGGAGATTCTCGTGGTGCTGGTGGCAATTTTGGACCAGGACTAGGACCAGGAAGTAACTTAAGAGGAGGACCTGATGGATACGGAAGTGGTCCTGGATTTAGAGATGGGTATGCTGGGTATGGAGGAGGGCCTGGAGGTGGCAATTTTGGAGGTGGCCCAGGTTATGGAGGAGGAGGATATGGTAGTAGAGGTTCTGGATCTGGCAACCAGGGTGGGAGCTCCTGGGGTGGGTATGGCATCTATGGAGGAAGAAATCGTGGAAGTGGAAATGGCAATGATTTTGGAAATTATAACCAGCAACCTTCTAACTACGGTCCAATGAAGAGTGGAAACTTTGGTGGTAGCAGGAACATGGGGGGGGACCATATGGTGGAGGAAATTATGGTCCAGGAAGCAGTGAAGGAAGTGGGCGTTATGGAGGGAGAAGCCGATATTGATCTTCTTCCTATTTACTATGGGCTTCACTGTATAAATATGAGAGGATGAGAGCCCAGAGGTAACAGAACAGCTTCAGGTTATGGAAATAACAATGTTAAGGAAACTCTTATCTCAGTCATGCATAAATATGCAGTAATATGGCAGAAGACACCAGAGCAGATGCAGAGAGCCATTCTGTGAATGGATTGGATTATTTAATAACATTACTGTGGAGGAAGGATTGTAAAAAAATAAAAAGTGCCTTTGAGACAGTTTATTAGCTTTCTTTTTTGTGGGCCTCTCACTGTTGTGGCCTCTCCCGTTGCGGAGCACAGGCTCTGGACACGCAGGCTCAGCGGCCATGGCTCACGGGCCCAGCCACTCCGCGGCATATGGGATCATCCCGGACCGGGGCGCGAACCCGTGTCCCCTGCATTGGCAGGTGGACTCTCAACCACTGCGCCACCAGGGAAGCCCTCTTAGCTTTTTATTTGTTGTTTCTTTCTAGCGGTCTTTGTAAGTGTAGAAGCACTCCTCCTTTGATAATGTTAAATTTGTAAGTTTCAGGTGACATGTAAAAGCTTTTTTAAGATTTTTCTCAAAGTTTTGAAAAGCTATTAGCCAGGATCATGGTGTAATAAGACATAACATTTTTCCTTTAAAAAAATTTAAGTGTGTCTTAGAGTTAAGAAGCTGTTGTACATTTATGATTTAATAAAATAATTCTAAAGGAAAAAAAAGAAGTGTTGTCAAGGATATGGAGAAACTAGAACCCTGTACACTGCTGGTGGGAATGTAAAATGGTGCAGGCACTGTGGGTAAGAGCTTGGTGGTTCCTCAAAAAGTTAAACATGAAATTAACCCTGTGAGCCAACATTTCCACTCCTGCCTATACTGAAACAGATGCTCAAATATGTGTACGTGAATGCTGGTTGCAGCACTATTCACAATAGCCAGAAGGTGGAAATGTCCTGAATGTCCATCAGTGGCTGATGGAAATGTCCCGAATGTCCATCAGTGGCTGAATGAATAAACTAAGTGTAACCTGTACATAGGATGAGAATAATAGTCATAAAAAGTAAGGGAAGGGCTTCCCTTGTGGCGCAGTTGTTGAGAGTCCGCCTGCCGATGCAGGGGACACGGGTTCATGTCCCAGTCCGGGAGGATCCCACATGCCGCGGAGTGGCTGGGCCCGTGAGCCATGGCCGCTGAAAGAATTTTTTTTTTTCTTTCTTTGTGGTACGTGGGCCTGTCACTGTCGTGTCACAAAAAAAAAAAACAAAAAACAAAAAACTTTCTGTCTGTGAATTCCCTGGCAGTCCAGTGGTTAGGACTCTGCAGTTTCACTGTTGAGGGCCTGGGTTCAATCCCTGGTGGGGGAACTAAGATCCCAGAAGCTGCGAGGCATGGCCAAAAAAATTCTTAAAAAAAATTTTTTTTTCTGTATTTGGATTTACCTAGTCTGGACATTTTATATACCTAAATGAAATCATACAATATTGGTCTTTTTTGTCTGGCTTTTTTCCTCAGCATATTTTCAAGGTTTCATTCATGTTGCAGCATGTGTCAGAGCTTCCCTTACTTTCTTTTTTTTTTTTACCGGTACGCGGGCCTCTCACTTTTGTGGCCTCTCCCATTGTGGAGCACAGGCCCCGGACGCGCAGGCCCAGCAGCATGGCTCACGGGCCCAGCTGCTCCGCGGCATGTGGAATCTTCCCAGACCGGGGCACGAACCCGCGTCCCCTGCATCGGCAGGCGGACTCTCAACCACTGCGCTACCAGGGAAGCCCCCCAAAAAGTATTTTAGTGGTGACCAAGAGGTAGGGTTATCATGGCTATAATGGCCTTATAATTTGTTTTTAAATGAGTATACAGTTCACATACCATAACGTTCACACTTTTAAGTGTAAAACTCAGTGGCTTTTTGTACATTGCACAGCTGTCCAACCATCACTATACAGTGTGAAAAAGGAAATATAACTTCTTACATTTCAAAATTCACAGAGACTGACTAAAAGCTGATCTGACATAAATTTCCCTGCAGTATAAAATGCACACCTGAGAACTGTGACTTCTCAGTGTCTGTGCTGAGACCAGTTCTGCAGAGAGACTGGGACCTCAGGGTCTGACTTCCCATGGGGTAAAGTTCCCTGGGCCTTGGGTAGCTGACCTCAAGCCCCAGCGGTGGGAGCTTGGACTAAGGGCAGAGCCTCCTGCTGTTAAAGGTCACACATGGACCAGGCCTGACCCTGCGTTGCACATGGTGGGTGGTGTCACTGAGTCTTTGTTCTTAAAGGGCACGTTTCCACCATGACCTTGCCCTGGGCCATGCCCTGACACTGGAGATCACCAAGCTGATGAAAGAAATTTTCACCTATTGAGGTATGGGGAAGTTATTCGGACTTATACATGATTTAACTCGAATTTTATACTAACTAAAATGGCCTGTTTGTGGCCTATCAAACACATTGTCTGTCTGCTTTAATTATTAAAGGACACATTGACCAGAACAAAAGATGTCCGTGTTAAAAATAAAGACTAGATGTCTCCCTTCCTGGGACACTAATGCTGGTCCTCCTTCGATAGCTACTCGTTGCCTCCTGCTGCAGCCTATGTGCTGGTCTGTTTGTTTGTTTGTTTGGTTGGTTTTTGTTATTGTTGTTTGTTTGTTTTTGCCATTTTTAAAAAAAATATTTACTTATTTGGCTGCACCGGGTCTTAGTTGCAGCACGCGAGATCTTCGTTGTGGCATGCGGGGTCTTTAGTTGCAGCATGTGGGATCTAGTTCCCTGACCAAGGGTTGAACCCACGTCCCCTGCACTGGGGGCACGAAGTCTTAACCAGTGGACCACTGGGGAAGTCCCTGATCTGTTCGTTTTTGAAACCTTGAAGGAATGTTTCCCTGCATTGTTTGCTGTTAAGAGTTCTTACAAGATAGAAAACGGTGCTAAAAACCATGCTTTTCCTGAGCAGGTCCTCTGAGTTATCTGAGAGGCCGTCTTAAGGGCTCTAGTCTTCAGTTTGGCTCAAAAGATTTTTCTATTCCTATTATAGATCGTTTATTTTTTATTTCCATCAACAAAGCCCTATGACCCGTATTTTCTCATCCTCATTCCGGGTATGGAGCGATCCCCGGGGAAACTGAGTCTGGACTTCCAGGTGCAGGAGGAGGACACAGGGGAGCCACCGAGCAGATGCCACAGGGTGTGCCGCGCCCAGAGCCCATTCTGCACGGAGCCCAATTCCCAGGCCGGCGTATCAGCCACGCGTGTCCCTGTGCCCTGTCATTCGGATGTAGGGGCGGGGTCTGGTTGAACTGTCCAATCAGCGGCGAATGGGCGGGGTCCGGACAAAGCAATCAGGATAGAGTGGGACTAGGAGGACTGTCCATCAAGGCAGGGGCGGGGCAAGGATTACTGTCCAATCAGAGCCCGGGCTCCGAAGAGGGCGGGCGGCGTGCGCGTTCCCAGCCCGCGGAAGTTTTTCTGCGCTTGTGCGAACTTGTCCTGCGTGGCTTCAGGTGTCGCGTCCCCGTCGGTCTCACCGGTCCAGGTCGGAGGGTCGCCCCGAGGACGCTTCGCAGAACCCGAAAGGAGGCACAGATGGTGAGTGCACCGCTCAGGGCCCTAACACGGAAAAGGCTGGTTCGAACCGTCCGGAACTTGCCGAAAGCGACGGCCGGGCCAGCGTCTCCCCGCGTCCCACCCACCCCGGCGTCCCGACCCGAGTCTCCCCCTCGGCCTCGGGCTGAGGACCTGCCGTGTTGCTCCGTCACTGCTCGGGGTCCGGGGGCGTCCGGACCGAGTCTTTGGCCCCGTGGGGGTCGGAGGGAGGACAGGACTATTCCCGACGCGGGCCGTTAGGCGCTGGGGCGTGGGGGACCCGCCCTGGACCTGACAGATAAAGTCAAGCCCGGACTTGTCAAGGAGACTGTATTGCAAATACTGTTGCGATAGCGCCGAGGCTCGGATCTCAGAGATGTGCCAGCGTCTCCAACCACACAGCAAAGGGCTTTTCTGTGTGAGGAGGGCGAGCAGGAGGGAAGTTGGGCGAGTGAGGGCGGTGCGCCGAGTGCAGGGCCAGCGTGGCTGGACTGGACAGGGCTCCCTGGGTCACCTGTTGCCTGGAGAAGCTGACCAGGGGCTTGTTCGGAACCTCAGTGTTGCTCAGACGTGGGGGCGACACCCCGTCCAGGAACCTGTGGGGAGAAATCTGACGATGTGGGGTAAGAAACAGGACACAGAGAACTTGGTCAAGCCCAAATGTGTGGGCAGGAGGGCCGGATCTCCTGGTGTCAAAGATAAAATGTCAAAGTGGGGCTGGCCCCTGAATACATGCAGGGAGCATCACAGAGTGTCTTTGTACTCTGGGAACAGATTCACAGTGACCTTGCCCCCAGGCCGACCCCTGACTCGGGAGGTTCCCCAGGCCCTCCTGTGTCATGTGGAACAGTAATCAGTATTGAGCTTATTTGAGGTCTTAGGAATTGCAACTTGGGGGACCCAGATTTGAGTTGATGGAATACAATTTATGTTTTTGAGGCATAAGAAAGAAAATTTAAGCATAACATTACTCTCTGCCCTTATTGGGCCCTCCCTAATGTGCATTGTGCATCTGCATTATGCATTAAACAGACCTTCTCAAAGGTAGGAATGTCTGCTCCACCAGAAAGATCAAATTTTTTTCCTCGTTCTGCCACCAGCAATGTAACTCCAAGATAACATAACTTTCCTAATCCTGTCAGGGGTCATGCTGATCTGCTGCAGATCTAGACTATGTATTTTTGGTGAACCTTATGTGAGATGTCATTGTGTCATTTTGATATATGCTCCTTTGCCTCAAAAATATATATGATGGTCTTAGACTTCTAGTAAGTGGAACAGCCCTCTGAGTTTTATGAGAGACTGTCTCCTGGGTTATAATCCTCTCATAGGCTTAAACAAAATTTTCTATTTTCTCTTTTAGATCGACTATTCATTAATTTTTCATCAACAGCGTAACACTGAAAGTGTTGTAGGGAGGAGGAAGAGTAACAGACTTATTAAAGGAAAAGCCACACGGTTGTTAAAGTTGCCTGGCATGAATTTTGACAGACTGACACAGGGAATGAAATATTTGTCCTTAAGGAATAGGCTGTCACAAGTTATTTAGGGGAAGGGTCCAATAAGTATCTTGACTTTCTGGGTCATTGGGCAGATGTTCTGGATGCCTGCGTTAAGGCAGTAAGTGGTCAAAAGTTCAGATTCCATCTGGGCTGAGACCTGCATAAGCCCTACATCCTCAGTGGCCTCCTGCCTGCATTTTAGAGTGCTCTCTTAGCAATACTGACTCCATTTTGATTTTCCTTTCACACCTGTCCCCTGCTGTCCTGGCTCCCGGACTTAGGGGGGCAGCCCTGGACAGGGGGCACTGAGGGGAACTGAGTGGCACATTTCTGTTCAGGAGAAGGGGACTGCAAGCTGTGGGCTGATGCTGTGTCTGTCTGGCCAGCAGTACATTCGGCTTAGAGTCCACCAGGGCAGCCAGGTCTGGCGCCCCATAGAAAGCCAGGCAGTAAAGGGCTGAAGCCAACCACCCGGACTTCCGCCCTGCTCCGTCACGTGACCTACAGCCTGCCCTTCACTCAGAATCCAGGCCTGCACTCGTTGTCAATCAGAGCCCAAGAAGGGGGTGTGCCTAGAGACTCGTCCAATTAAGGTGCGAAGGCTTGGAGCCTCATCCAATCAGAGACGGGGGCGGGCGCATTCGCTTACGTTGTGACGTCGCTCTTAGCCGCCCGGGCGTTCCGCCGCACCTACTTCAGGGGACCTCAGGTGTCCCGTCGCTGTTGCTCTAACCTGCCGGAGCTGTTGGGCTGCAGGGCCGCGGGGAGGACGACCTGAATGCGCGGAGAGGGGCTGAAATGGTGAGTGCGTGGGGCTGGCGCCGAGACCGGCTGGGGCTGGTTCGAATTGGCCGGAAACGGCAGCAGGATAGGACTCCCTGACCCCGGTCCAGACCCTAGTTTCCACCCTCGACCGCGTCGCGCGGTCCCGGGGTCCTGTCCGGTCCTCGCGCGGGGTCTCGTGTCCCAACTCAGGTCTCCGCCCTCGACCGCAACTTGGGATCCCGTGAGTCCCGACCCAGTCCCTGTCCCGGTGGGTGTCTGAGCGAGGACGGGACGAGCCGCCGGAGCAGGCGGTCAGGCGCTGGGGTCCCGCCCTGGACCTGACAGATAATGTCAAGTCCAGGGTTGGTCAGGGAGACTGTTTTGCAATTAATGTTACGATAGGGCCGAGGCTCGGATCTCAGGGATGTGCCAGCGTCTCCAACCACACAGCAAAGGGCTTTTCTCTTCTGTGAGAGGAGGGTGAGAGGAAGGCGGATTGACAGAACCAGAGGTCCTGTGGTCAGGGCGTCCTCGGCCCAGGTGAGAGGGGATTTGTTCTGCAGCTCAGTGATGCTCAGTTTGGGAGGTGTAGCGGGGAGTGACCCAGAGTCAGGGGCATTTGGGAAGAAGCCTGAGTAAAGTTTAGGTAAAAAAATGGATGTTGAGCTTAAAAATAACAGTTATTTACTAGGAAAAATGGATTTATTTGGGAACAGCAAAAAATTGCAATTTGGGACAGACAAGTATAGCAAAAGCCATAGGCAAGTCCAACAGACTTATTTATTGGAGAAAAAGGAGGGAGTTGGGAGGGGTTGTATTGATGTAAAGTCCGTGGAGAGTTGGAGAATTCAGGTTGATGCTGGTTTCTCATTGGCTAGTTGCTGGGGTAGCCAGTTTCTTGAGAAGATTCAATGTATGTACATCTTTTTCTGTTGGGGCCTGTAATTGTTGATTCTTTCGTGTTTTCAATTTTTCTGTTGGGGGCTGTGATTGACACTTCTTCCTGTAATTGATGTCAAGTGGTTCTGGGTGAGGCTGTCCCTTCTGCACCCACCCCCACTTCTTCTTAGTGCGTTTTCTCTTTTTTAATTTTCACAAGGGCCGTTGAGAACACTTGGTCAACCCTGTGGCATTAAAAAAATTACAAACTTTACAACAAGAGACCTTTATTCAAATGAGTTCCTGCAGGGGGAGAAGGGTCTGTTGCACCAGGCACAGGGGGCTCTGCAAGAAGGGGGACATCTGACCCTAAGATCTGCAAGTGTCTCAAGAGTTGGGCAGAGAGAGTTTTTCTCTTACACAGAGGAGTAAACATCACCAGGAGGGACCAGGTGTGATGCTCAGATAGCAGATCCCTGAGGCCAGCCTGTCCTTAGGGGTCTGTCGTCTG